CCCACCCTCCGTCCCTCTTCACCCCTCGCCCTCTTGTTTCCTGTTTCGGTTATTCTTTTCTTCTTCTTGTCAGCGCGACTGAAATGGTCTATTGATACGAGCAAAGCAATGCCTTTCCATGAAAATCAAAATCAGGAGACGCGCGTTTGGCGTGATTGCGAGCGCTTTCAGACACAGGTCAGTGAGTTCGGAGGAATAATAATTATCGATATGTTATGACGCAACGGGGAGCAAGATTCTTCCTTTCCTGCTGCGGCTTCAGTTTCCAGGAACATCGTTTACCCTTCAATCGTGTATCCGGCTCGTATCTCAGTTCAGTATGGGGCAAAGGCGGGCGCGGCGGAAGGCGGGTAAAAGCTTTTTGAAGCAATTAAACTCTCTGTCCTTGGCCCGGCCGACCCGAGCGGGATCCCGGGGCTCCCCCCGAAGTGCGAGATCCACTCGGGAGTGTTTCCGCCGACCGCTTACCCGGCGCTGAACTTGCAAAGTTAAGTCGTTGAGGGCGATCACGGCCGATCGCGGGCCGCGCCGCGCACGCCACGGTCCGGCGCGCGGGGGAAGGCCGCGGCCCTGGGGGCGCCAGCTAGCGCCAGCGCAGTGCCGGGCCAGTCAGCGAGGCGAGGCGGCCGCCGGGCGGGTAGGCAGCCCATCCGACGGAGAGGCCGGCGCGCCGGGCGGGATGCGGCCGCTGCATCGCTCTGGCTGCATTCGCGATAAGGCGCCTGCGGTCAGTGTCAGGGTCGCGGGCTGGTGCACCACGACGGGCAGGGCAGGTTGTGCCAAGTCCAAGCGCGTCATCGTTCTGGGATGACGTGGGTCAGGAGCCGTCCGGCACAACATGGGCTGGAGCCTGCTGCTGGAGCCTGGAGACTGGAGCCGGACAGGTAATTGCTACTCGCGAGTGTCAGCTGAGCTGGCCGGGCGGCGCGAGGCGGTGCGTGGGCGTATCCTGTTTCGCACTCGAGAGGCTCGGCTTTGTTTTGAGCTCGCGCTTCGCTCGCATGTCGTGCCGTGTGCTCGTCCGGAGGCGCCCGCGAGGACCCCACCTCTATGGCTGTGCGTCCTCACGCTTCATGCCGGCTGTGGCTGGAGGTGGGGTCCGGACTCCTCCCGGATAAAGGGCGGCCCAAGACGTCACTCGGAGGATGAGAAGCATGAAAACAGGGAAGGGGGGGGGCACTTTGCAGAAACCCCGCTCTTCTCTTGCTCAGGACCCCGGGCAGGGCGCTGCCGCCAGAGTCGGCCGCCTACAGCGCCACCATCGTCCTCTGACGCCAGCGACGCCGCCGACCCGGCCAGGCCGTCGCGGCCGGACCCGACGCGCTCCTGAGTCAAGTCGCGGCCTGCAGATCAGTCAGTACGCGTCCACCCGGCGCGTCGTCCACGAGCAAAGTGTTGGTGCGTGAGAAAGAGAGAGAGAGATTGTGACAGAAAAAGACGCAGTGCAACAAGTAGTGTCCTCGACGTCGTCCTCGACGCCATCCTGCGCGTCGCAATGAAGGCCACCGCCGCGCTCCTGGCCGTCGCCGTCCTCACCCTGCTGGACGGCGCCGTCCTCGCCGCCAGGCTGGCAGACACCGGTGAGTCCTGGGTGGGAGGGGTGCGGTCGTACGTGGGTGAGTCCTGGGTGGGAGGGGTGCGGTCGTACGTGCGACGACGGTGCGTCTTCGTGGCAAGGGCTAGCCCTTTACTTACTAGTTGTGGGGCAATAGTTCTCTTGTTCTCTATACCCCACCGCATCCTGACGACACGACGACACCCTGACGTGCCGATAAGTACCTGGCGCTCTTCGCTCTCCAGGCCGGGCCCCGGGCCGGCTCCCCGCTCTTTGTCGCCATCAGGGGCCCGGATTGCACGGGAGGAGTACAGGCCTAGATCCTCTTTCCCGATGGCCGCCCCGCCCGGCCCCGCCCGGGCGCCCCGCGGTCGGCTTACTCAACGATGGTCTGATAAAGATCGCATCCCAGCAGCTCCGCGTTCCTCCGCCTCCGCCGCCCGGTTTTGCGACGGGAAAACCCCAAACGGACGCGAGCGTCGTAGCCGCGAGAGGCGAGCGAACGTGTTCGCGAACGTGTCCTGGGGGTGTCGGCCACTTGCCCGTGGGTCGCGGTCGTTGCCGTTCCCCTTGGGGGAGGCTCTCTGCTGCACGTTGCTGCACGGCACGGCCGTCGCCGGGACTTCCCTGCTGCCCTGTGCCTTTCCGAGTGACTTGCGCTCTCACGTCCACTCCACCGTCCTCCGCATGAGTCATCCACACAAACCCGAAACAATTTCTGCTGCAAGGCGATTGCAATCGTCTGAATCGTCTTTTGAAGGTGGATTCCGGTGAGCAGGCGGGGCCGGGTGGGGCCGCGCGGACGAGGAGCGCTGCTCGCTTCGGGAGAGCAAGCCGATTAGAGTCGACGCGACGATCTCTGCTTGGGCCGTGATTTGCTGCCGAGATTCGCGAGGAATAAACGTGTACGAAGTGGAGGGGCCAGTCGGGCCCAACTCCGGCTCCGCCAAAGCCGCAACCACGGGGCCGCAATCATCCGCCATACGTGCAGCTCCAGGACCCGACCCGGCCGCCGGCCAGGACCCCCCTCTGGATCCTCGTGTCGGAGGAAGCACTCACCTGCTGACGCATTTAGCAGAGGATCTCCTCCGCCTCGCTTCGCGCGATGCGGTCGCAATGTGGGGCTCCGCTGGGCGCCAAAGACAGCCGCAAGAGTTTACGAGCGCTCCGGTCGGCGCTGGGGGCTGGGCCCGGGCTGGGCCGGGCAGGAGGGCACTGTACCCCGCGGCGGTGTGCCCGCGATGCTTGCGGTGCGGGTCACGTGCTGGGCACGTCCTGCCACGGGTGGGCTCCAGAGCCCTGCACCGAGCGAGCATCGGATGCCTACATGGCGTCCGAAAGCGAATCGGAGTGAGAGGGAGCTATGGCCCGGCGCCAGCTTCTCGCTCCCACAACCGCTTTCGGACGCCATGTAGGCATCCGATGCTCGCTCGGTGCAGGGCTCTGGTGGGCTCTCCCACCCTCCCTCTCTCCCTCTCTCTCTCTCTTCTTGCCCGTGGCAATGTTCCTTGACTTTCGGGGCTGACGCCGTGCTCGCTGACATTGACATTGCCAAACAACTCCTCCGCTCTCCCGTTATAGCTCTGCTAGCGGTGGCGGTGACCCCCCGTGGGGAAGGTGCGTATGCGACTATTTCGCATTTGAGAAACGTTTCTCTGGGGGTAAGAAAAACGCACTTGACCCGAGCACAAAATAAATGCATCTGGGTTAAGAACATAATTCTTATGTATATCCAAGCAAGCAAAGCAAGACCAATAGTGCTCGAGAATAGTTTTCGTAATCTGAAACAGTGTGAGAGGCTCCATTCTTTTTGATGATCCTACTTTACACACAGTCGGACATGAGGGGCATGAGCATGCGCACGTTTCACACTTGGTTAAAGTAGGTGACACTCGTTTCTTCCTTTGGGTATCGGCACACTGTTCCACGTACCGGGTGATTCAGAGATGACGCAGGTGCAGGCGGGTTTTGCCTACCCAAGGGGCTATGGCGCCTTACGAGGAGCGGGTAGGCAAACCCGCCTGCATCTGCGTCTTCTCTGAATCACTCGTTACTGTCTTTAGTTTCCGGCGCACTCTCGGCCAGTGTTGGCAGAAAGTTTAGGCAAATATCCCATGAACACACCTGTGCATCGACGCCTGCATACTAGGCAACACCTTAGCACGGGTGTGGGAATGTTGCCTAGTAGGCAGGCGGAGATGCTGTACTGTTACACACGGGTGTATTCGTGGGATATTTGCCTAACTTTCTGGCTCGCACACGATGCTGTCGGACCCACAGGCCGTCACCGCGATCATACACCGAGGAGTAATTAACGCAAAACACTCCGTGTAGCGCCCTTTTAAAAAGGGCGAAAAATCAGGGAACATTTACTCTTAAAAATCAGAATAAATCTGAAATATCAGAAACCCAAGAGATAAAATCGGTGAGCGCTTGAATTCATAGTGAAGTACCCCTCGGGGTGCATTGTCCCCGCCTGACCTAATCGGGCCGCTATTGCCTTCACGCTTCGTGGCGATGGGTTCATATCGGGACGGCACCGTGCCAGTGAGAAGTGACGGTCCAGGCGTCCCCGGCGGGAGCCGCCAGCAGCTCCACCAGCACCCCGGCCGTGTCCGATCGCTGCCGGTACGGGCGTGGCGGGGCGGGGCGGGGCGGGGCGGGGCGGGGCGTGGCCGCGGGGGAAGGCCGTGGAGGCGACTCTGCCATCCCTGCTTCCCGGTAGTGAGTTGGGCCCCATTGGTGATCTGCAAGGCCGTTAAACTGAAGAAGAACGCGGGGAAAGTGTCGCGCGGCCGCTGTCATAGTAGTGTGTGGCGTGTGCTCCAGAACAAGAGTGCGCGCACAAGAGAGGGTTCGGTGAAAGTTTTTCTCATCCCTTTCGCATGACGGCGAGTGCGGTGCAATCTCGAGCACGTGACATGACATTGCGGAAATGAAATGATACGAAATGCACTTGCGTGCACTTTTCGGTGGGGCTGGTAGCCTCGCCCCCGCGTGGCGTGGTGGCGTGTGCAGTCACACACTGAGTTTCGTGGCGAGTAGCCTAGCACTAGCACCTAGCAGAGCTGAAAAAAAATCTCCTCAGAGCTTGTATTTCAATTCGTCGGTGATGCGAGGATCTGCATGAATAAACAAACGAACAAAAACAGGAGGTAAAGAAAGGTTACACGCCAAAAAAGGGGAAGGGGGGGGGGAGGCTGGTTTTTGGATTCTTTTAAGTTCAGTGACCCGAAGTCTGATACAATTGGCTAAAGTTTGAAGCACTTTACAACGAAAGAAACAAAAATAACAAGTAAAATACGTATCATTTTCCACTTCTGCCATTCTGCCAATCGGTATTGTCCCGCGCCGACGTGGTGACGCGTGAAGTGTCAGTCCCCCCGCCGTCGCGGACGTAGCGGGGAAGCAGGAGGAGGACGGCCTCACCTCGAAAGAAAGCGGAACTTCGGCCGGGCGGCGACTGGTGAGACAGAACCCGAACCCCTGTGCGCTGCGCGGTCATGAAGGCTGCCGGCGCGCCCGGCGCTCGGCGGGCCCACCGCTCAGCTCGCCCGCCGCTGTTCCAGGTCGCGTGCTCACAAAGGAAGACGCCCGTCAGGACGGCGGCTGCGTGTCCGACCCGGGACGCCCGTCCACCGCCACCCGACGCGCCCTCAAGTGTGAGTCGCTGCCGTCGCGCGTTTGTGGGCCGCATCTGCATACGGACACCGCTGGCTTCCCCGGGCGGCACCTGGGCGGCCGCGGCCGCAGCGTGCCAACGGGTCTTCTGCTCAGCCAGCTCTTTTGTTGTTGCTCTGCTTCGCGTCGAATGCCGCGCACAAAGCGCCCGACTCGTTCACCGTCCTGCCCTGGCGACGTGAGTTTTGCTAATCAAAACCTCTCTCCCGTGCTTTGCAGGTACGCTCCGCGTACGGGTGGCCCGCGCGTCCTCCAGCGCGTCCTCGTCGTCATCCTCGTCGTCCTCGGGAGGCCCCGGAGGCTCCGCTCAACAGAGCGCCTTCTCCACCAGCAGCACCAACCCCGGCGGCGTGTCCCACACGACGGTGTCGAAGGGACCTGGTAAGTCTTCCGCCCGGGTCACGACCCTACCAGAACTGCACCCCCACATTCATGACTATGACTATTGATCAACGGGCTTCGTCCTCTAGGGGGCGTGTCGTCTTCGAGCTCGTCTTCTTACCCCGGTCCCGGCGGCGGCGCTCAGCCCCCTGGCAAAGGCCCTGCCTCAAGCGCCGCTCCGCACCCCGCGCCCGGCGCCGGCACTGGCGCCGCGCCCCCGGGGGGCCACGGCCCCCAGGGTGGTGCGCCTAGTGGCGGCCCCGCTCCCCAGCTGGGAGACCGTCTTGGAGCGACGGCGGGTCCGGGAGCCGCCAGTGCGGGAGCCTCCGCCGGCGGGGGTCCTATGGGGGCCGGGGCGCCAATGGCGGGTGGAGCCCCTATGGGAGGGGCTCCCTTGGGCTTGCCCGGCTCGTACGGCGGTTGCAACGCAAACGGCTGCTTCAGCGGGATCTCTTCCTCGTCCGGTGGTTTCGCCGGTCCGTCCGCCCCAGGTGAGCTCCACCCGATTCTGATCAGGAATCTGTTCCGTCTTGTCACCGGGTTTTAACACGGTTGTCGCCCTTGTGTTGCAGGAGCAGGAGGCGGCGGCTTCCCGTCCTACCCCGCCCCCGGTGGGGGCTATGGCGGCGGCTACGGCGGCGGCTATGGCGGCGGTTACGGCGGCGGCTACGGCGGCGGCCCCGGCGGCCCTGGTAGCTTCTCCGGCGCCAGCTCCGGCGGCTCGTACCCGGGCAACATGCCCGTCGGCCCCATGGGCGGCGTCCCCGCCGTGCCGGCCGTCCCCCCCATGGCGCCGATGCCCTTCGGCATGATGCCGCCGATGCCGACGCAGGTGGCGGGCCAGTCCCCGGCGGACTTCGCCTCGTTCCTGCAACAGTACATCGCCTTCCTGCAGCAGTTTGCCCAGCAGATCCAGGCGCAGCAGGCCCAGCAGGCCGCACTCGCCCAGCAGGCGCAGCAGCAGCCGCAGTACGCCCCCAGGTACGTCAGGCGGGGTACGGCAGTCCCGCGGTGCAGTCCTGCAGCGCGGGCTTGCCTACGCGGACGCTCCAAGGGGCGCTGATCGGCATGCTCCTCTGTTGCAGCGGCCCCGGTCCCAGCTACACGAGCAGTAACGCCCTGGAGCCCGCCGGCGGGTGCACCGTCTGCGGCGGCCCGGGCGTGACGGGGCCCTCCGCGCCGTCGGGACCGGGTGCCTACGGCGGAGCGTCCTCGAGCGCGGGCTCGTACTCGTTCGCGGGGCCCAGCGGCGTCGGCGGTGGCGTCGGCGGCTTCCCGTCGTTCCCGGGCTTCCCCCAGGCCGGCGCTCCCGCCTTCGGCACCTACGGCACCCCCTTCAGCGCGCCGGCCCCCGGCATGGGGCTCTACCCGGGCATGGGGACGCCGATGAGCGCGTCCGGCAACGGCGCCGCCATGGCGTCCGCCAGCATCGGGCCGCAGGGCGGCTACGGTGAAGCGACGGTGGGTAGCGCGGACGCGCCTCAAGCGACACCACCAGGGAGGGACTTTGACCAGGGTTTCTGCTATCAACGACTCGTGACTGTTTCCTCCCGCAGGTCGGTGACAACGACCACCCCGAGCTCGGACAGCGCCAGGGCGGGCCCATCGCCGCATCCCCGGGCGGGAGCTCGTACGGCACGTTCAGCTCCGTGTCGACGGGCAGCAGCACCGTCAACGGCAAGACCACGTCGTACAAGGAGGCTGTCTCTGGTGTTAACGACAACGGCAAAATAACCACGTTCGTCGCGCGCGATCCGCCGAAGTAAAGTTATTGATCCTGAGCCGACCTTCCTCTGCTTGGGTTCTCAGTAACGTCTACCCAAAAAGCATGTCATTGGTCGATTTTCTATTTGCTGTGATAATACAAGGTTAACGATGATTATGGTTGTGTTAATCTGCTGATATATTTAACCACGCCGTGGTATTTGTGCACGTATAATGTATGTGTATTTATTTTGTTTGTTATTTTATTTCTTAAAACGTGTGCAGAGGATTGGCACGGCACAAATGACACATCAAACTACACTCTGCTGATTTTTAAAAATTCGAAAACTTAGACACAAAAGGTGTTGGTGTTTTTTCTTCTTCCCGAATGTCCCTCCGTGCGCCACAGAGCCTCGCCGTGGCTGCAGACGAAACGTCAGACAATCGCGACAGGTGGGCTGCCTACCCTCACGGCGCGCCGAGTGCCAAACAAAAGGGGGGAGAGACGACGAGCCGTTGTAGCTGGGTGAGAACAGAGGGGTTTCCCGCTGGGGCGGCACCGCTTGTTCGCCAACATGACTTTGTTGTTCTTTAAAAAAATAGATTTTAAAGAAATTAACAAAAGCACTCGGGAGGGAGCTCCCTCGGGAGATAGTTGGCTAAGAGATAAGATGAAATTCTAAGCATTGTATGGATGGGGCCCAAATTGCAGTTAAAATGTTTCCAAACCTGCACTTCCCCCGACTTCCTCGCAGGCCAAGAGATGGCGCCTCAAACGTCGCCTATTGGGCTGGCGGGGCACCGGAGCCTCCCGGCGACATTTGTGTGTCCAGTCCACTCTGCGTTTGGCTCTGGTCGCGGTCTGCCAGTCTGCCTTGCCTTGTCACCTCCATCGCACCTCCCAGTGAGTACCAAATCGGTTTCCGAGACCCTACAAGTGTTTTTTTATTTTATTTTTTAAGAGTAACCGCGCGGTACAGGTTTGTTTGCTCTAGAATAGAAAGGGTTCACAACTGCACGGGCCGCCGGCTTGGCTGCTCCTTGGCGGTTCAAAAGCAAGT